GCATAAGGTTTAAGACCACAGGCTCTAGAGTCAGAACTGACTAGGTGCAAAGAGCAGCTATGGCTGTGGGCAAGTTAATGAGCCATCCTCAGGTTAAAGTAGAGATAATTTTACAGCTTATAATCTTGGAGTAAGAATGAAATAATGCAAGAAAGACACCTAAGTGTTAGTAAATCTTTCTTAGCTGCTTTTGTTCTGCTAGCTTTTTTTTTTTTTTTGGTTTTTGCTTTTCTGTTTTCTTGGCTTTTGCTTCTGGCTATTAAGCATTGAACACTATGACAGGTGCTGTGCCTGGGATATAAGAGGGTACTTCAAAAAGGTTATGGAAATATTCATATTATCTTTTTAATTCTATTTTCTATGAACTTTTTGAAGTTGCCCTCATATATGTCTCTCAGAAAACACTGAGCCAATTGCACCCTATGTTTGACTCAAGGTGGTGTTTCCTATGTCAATCCCCTTACATACTGGAGAGATAAATATGTTAAGATGAAGAACGGGAAAAATTTCTCCTCTTTCATTTATTCAGAAAGTAATTATTGGTCTGGAAATTCATCAATGGGTCAGACATGGTCTGCAACCTTCTAGAACTTGGGAAATACGAGCTTTTAAACATTCAATTTCCTAATAATGACCACGACTTTAGACTTGCTGTCAGAAGCAGGAATGGAGAGCCTGTTTGCTTAGTGGTGGCAGAATCATGGGGAGCTGCAAGTCTTGGCTACAGAAAAGGCAGGGATGGGGCAGTGGGGAGGGAAGCAGAGCTATCCTCTTGACCTTGACCTCGGCTCTCTCCCCGAGCAGGACCACTCTGAGAATGCCATCGGCGTGGCTGCCACCATGGCCCACGAGATGGGCCACAACTTCGGCATGAGCCACGATACTGCAGATTGCTGCTCGGCCAGTGCGGCTGATGGCGGGTGCATCATGGCGGCTGCCACGGGGTGAGTGGATCAGGAAGGGTGAGGGTGGGCAGGAGGGTAGGGCACACTTGGCCAGCGCCACCCAAGGGCACTCCCTGGCTGGGCCCAGGGAGCCTCTGTCATCCCTCTGATGGGGCCTCAGAGAAAAATGTGGTTTTTGCAACAAGGAAATTGTAAGAGGATCAAGAAGGCGAGTATATGGAAGAAGCACTAGGTTTCTAGCAGGAAGTTTGGTGCTGGTGTCTTTGGCTTGATCACATATGTCTTTGTACTTAATGAACTTTTGATGAGAACCCATTTTGATCACACCCACAACCCTTAATCCTCTCATCCCAAGAAAGTTTGATCAGGGCTGTCATATCCTCGTTTCATGGAAAGCTCTGATGTAGCCTCCAGCACCAGTTGAAGGAAGGGGACCATCCACACACCCCACAGTGGCTCCTCAGGGAATTTGCAGGCTGTGTTTACCACGAGGGACAAGGACGAGGCAGCTACATCTCCTTGTAGTCATGGTGGATTTTTTTAAACCGGAGCCTCTGAAGGAGAATTCTAGAGTTTCTTCACAGGACTTACGTTCTGGTGTCTGAACACAGATAGCACAAAGCGTTGGGTTCTTCCAGGACCTGGCAGACATCCTGGTGGGACCTTGCATTCCCTCACCCCAAACCATTAGGGCCCACTTGTGCTTCTTAGAGAATGGCGTTCCAGCATCTCCGAGAGGACATATAGCTTTCTTGGAGTGCCAGTATTCAGCGTTTGTTTGGTCATCACTTCTTGGCTGTAACACAGAAAGGATGATGTTGACGTGTGGGATACACCTCCACAGGTGATGCTGAAATCCATAAGAGCTCACGATTAAGTCCACCCCTTTCTCTTCCCATCTAAAAAGCATTATCTGTAGACAAATGGTTGCAAGTTATATGAATTACAACTCATTTGTTTTTAAATTATTCACAAATTTTAGTAGTCTAGCACTTAGTAACCAATTCCTTGTAGCATACTTTACCACTGAAACCCTCTAGTGTTTAACCTTTAATTGGCTTAGAGAATCGTGAGCAAGATAACTCTCCCTTTGTAGACTTAGATGGTGGTACTTTTCATTCTTTCTCCCAGTCATGGGACCCAGGATCTTACATACTCTTGTCACAAAGACCATGCCTTTGTTCGTTTGCTGGTTAAGTTTAGAGCGCTCTTTGCATCCTTAGAACAGAGATCAGATCACTGGTCTATGACCTTGGCCTTTTTTGGCGTGGTCCTCTGTCCCAGGAGATTATCCACCAGATATCAGCTTCAGGAAAAGTTTGGGTTGGCTGATATTACATTAAGCTCTAAGGCTCAAGAGACCTGTTGTAACACACCTATAACCCTTTACTTATTACAACCCCCTCATGTAAAGGGCAGAAATTGCTGCTTCTGATTCTCAGATACCTCCCATATTAGTCCGTTTTTGTTGCTCATAACAAAATACACAGAACTGGGTGATTTATAAAGAAAACAAAATTTATTGCTTAAAGGTTCTGAGGCTGGGAAGTCCAAAGTCCATCTAGTGGTGGTGACAGTGACCCAGGGGCCTCACATTGCAAGATGGTGGAAGCAGAGAGAGAAGAGAGAGAACAAGACAAAGACAGACTCTCCTCTTCTTTTAAAGCCCTCAGGACCATGACCCAACCACCATTTTTAATCCATTCACTGCTGCCTGGTCCTACAATCCAATCACCTCTTCAGGGCCCCACCTTTAATTACCATAATGGGATCTCCCACGCTCTTAGTCTTAGTGGGGGCTAAGTTTCTAATACATAAAACTTGGGGAACACAATTCAAGCTACAGGGAGTTTTGGGGGTACATAATTCAATCCACTTCTTTCCACCCCTGGCCTCCCAAAACTCATGTCCTTTTCACATGCGAATACATTGGTTTTATCCCTGAAGTCTTAACTTGTTTCAACTCAAAAGTCCAAAGTTCAAAGTCCCATCTGTGAAATCAATATGAGTTATCTACTTCCGAGATAAAGTGGTGGGACAGGCATAGGGTCATATTCCAAAAGGGAGAAATAGGCCAAAAGAAAGGGGTAACAGGTCCCAAACAAGTCTGAAACCCAGCAGTGCAGGCATTAAATCTCAAAGCTGGTGAATCTTGTAACTTGACTCCATGTTCAATGTTCTCTGCATGCTGGTGTGGGGGTCAGGTCCCTGAGTCCTCAGGCAGTTCCGCTCCTAAGGCTTTCCTGGTCTCAGGCCACACTTTAGCACTCCCAGTCTGGTGTTCCACTCTGGTAGCTCCCCAGGTCTGGGGTCTCCATGGCGGTCCTGCTCTCATAGCTCCACTAGGCATGGCGCTGTTGGGTTTCTCTGCTGCAACACTGACCCCATGGTTCCACTTGGCATTACTCTAGCGAAGGTTGACTCCGCCCCTGCGACAGATCTCTTCCTGGGCCCCCAGACTTTTCCATACATCCTCTGAAATCGGGGTAGAGGATCCCAAGCCTCTACAGCTCTGTCATTATGCAAGCCTGCAGACCTAACACCATGTGGACGTCACCAAGGCTTCTGGCTTGTATCTTCCAAAGCTGTGGGCCCAGCCACACCTGGGACCAGTTTAGCCATGGCTGGAGCAGCCAAAGCAGCTGGAAAACTGGTGTTGGAAGCAGCTTCTAGAGGTGGCCCTGGGTGGTGAATCCATGGAGGGTGCCTCAGGCCTGTTCCCCGAGACCATTTTGTGTCCCTAGGCCTTTGGGCCTGAAATGGAAGGTTTGGCCCCAGAGGTTTCTGCAATGCCTTCAGGGCCTTTTCCCCCTTCTCTTGATAATCCTGTTCTTTTGTGTTAATCTTCTTAGCTAATGGTCGCTGGGCTGCACCACTGCATGCTCTCTTCTTCTCTACCACATGGACAGGCTGAAAATTTTCTAAATCTTTAAGCTGTGCTTCCCTTTTAAATTCTGGCTTTATGTCATGCCTTTGCCATCATGGAAGGAAGCCATGCAGCTTCCTTAATGCTTTGCTGCTTGGAAATTTCTTCTGCCAAGTACTCTGGTTCACAACTCCTAAGTTTCAACTTCTGCGAAGTCCTAGGGCACGGACTGAATGTGGCCAAATTCCTTGCTAGTTCACAGCAAGAGAGATCTTTGCCCAGGTTTCTGAAAAACTCCTTCTTATTTCTATCTGAGACCTCCTTAGAATGGTCTTTACAGTCCATATATTTCTATCAGCATTCTGCTTGCCACCACATAACCAGTCTCTAAAACTTTCCCTGGTTTTCTTGTCTTCTTCTGAGTCCTGCAGACTCCTACACCCTCTCCTCAATTCCCAGTTCCAAAGCCGTTTCCACATTTTCAAGTATTTATTATAAACAACACCCCACTTCTCTGGGATGAATTTTCTGTATTAGTCAGTTTTGAGTTGCTATAACAGAATATCTGAGACTGGGTGATGTATAAAGAAAATGAAATTTACTGCTTACAGTTTCTGAGGCCAGGAAGTCCAAAGTCCATCTGGTGGTGGTGACAGTGACCCAGGGGTCTCACATGGCAAGATGGTAGAAGCAGAGAGAGAGAGAGAGCAAGAGAGAGACAGACTCGCCTCTTCTTTTAAACCCCTCAGAACCACACCCTGATCACCAATTTTAATCCATTTACTACTGTATGGTCCTCCAATCCAATCACCTCTTCAAGGCCCCACTCTTCAATTACCATAATAGGATTTCCCACCCTCTTAGTCTCAGTGGGGGCTAAGTTTCTAATACATAAAACCTGGGGGACACAATTCAAGCTTCAGGGAGTTTTGGGGGCCATAATTCAATCCACTACACCTCCTCCGTGCAAAGTGAGAAAAACAAAACCGTATGAGGTGGTAAATATTTCACCATTAAGGGTGAAAAAATTCTATATTCACGTGTCAGTGAATGTTCCAAAGGGGCATAATATATGTGCATGGACTGGGGGGTGTGTGTGTGTCTGAGTCTAGGTGGAATCAGCCTCATGGGTAGCGGGAGTGACAGCTATTCTGGCTGCTGGATGCTCAGATTCTCAACTAATTCCAGCCCTGTGCTCTGCCAGGCACCCCTTTCCCAGAGTGTTCAATGGATGCAACAGGAAGGAGCTGGACAGGTACCTGCAGTCAGGTGGTGGAATGTGTCTGTCCAACATGCCAGACACCAGGACGCTGTACGGAGGCCGGAGGTGTGGGAACGGGTACCTGGAAGATGGGGAAGAGTGTGACTGTGGGGAGGAAGAGGTAAGGGGCCACGACAGTGCTAACGGGAGGGAAGAATCTGCATTGGTGTCAAAGGTTAAGGTTCAAAGGAAAATACAGTGGAAATTTCTCAGTCACAGGCGTTTCCTATACATGGCTATCAAGACCCTATTGCGAATAAGACATAGAGTGTAAGCCTTACAGGTTGACTGTTTCTGCAGCCCCTCCTAATTTGTGTTTGGCACTGTTTGTTTCTAAGATCAGGGTGGAGTTCTTCTTGTGAGTGTCTGTTTTAACCAGAAACCACAATCATGTGGCAGGTTGGCTCTCTGTTCCCCAGTGGAGCTACAGATAACCTTCCTGGCCCTCCAGCTGCACTGAATTTATTCTGGAGGCCACACAGCCGGATATATGGACTTTAGCATGGGCCTTATGAGGCTGCTCAAAATAACACACTCATGCTGTTTAGCCTGGAGAAGAGATGATTGAAAGGGGATGTAGCAAGTGCTGTCAAGTCTTGAAAGGGTTGCAAGGAGGAAGAGGAGAAGTGTTTATGTATAAGCTCTTTCCTTCCTTCTGATCTTCAAAGTGAGCGTGCAGGGCACACAGCATAGCTCTGTCGTTTTTAACAAATGCATGCTGTTCTGCAAAAAGCAGAACTGGATTGTTTCATCTCTTTTTTTGAAGGGTGAAAATATGTATGCTAACACACGTATGCAATCTGAGGGAGAATACATGAATAACATAAACTATGGGGGTGAGACAGGGTATACGTGGAAAAAAAATTTGATTTTATAACTTTCTCTATGATGTGGTTTTGTTTTTTTAATGCCAGCATGTAATTTTCAGAATAAAATAAGAACTGGTTAAAGAGACTACTACCCCCATAACCATAAGCTCAGAGAGATCAGCCCAGACCCTTCAGAAGGAGGGAGTTGTACCAGCACGGAGGCTCGGTGGGGTGGAGAAGCAGCCCGAGAGAGGACTCAGCTGGTCGGCTTATATGAGGGTACTTAGGAAGGTTTGTGGAAAAATGGGATTAAAAAATAATATGAATCTTTCCACGAACTTTTTGGAGACCCCTCATATTCTGAGCAGCTGCTCATTCAATCAGTCTTTACTGAGCGCAGGCTACTGTGTCAGGTACTAGGGATAGGAGGGATGGCAAAACCAGACATAGTACCTGTCCTTGGGGAGCTTATAGTCTAGTGGGGAAAACACACTTTGACCAAATGATTGCAAAAATATATAAATACAGTCTATGACAAGTGCTAGGAGGGCAAATTCCATGGTGCTGGGAACAGATATAATGTGACAGGAAGCTGCCCTGTTTGGGCGGGAAGTGTTAAGAGCACAAGGAGGGAAGGCTCATTGCAGGTAGAGGGGAGGAAATACATCATGCCAGAAGGGCAGAAACACGGGTCTGCCTGGAGCCCAGGACGGGGGGAGATTCATGGGAGGAAAGTGCCCATATTCCTTCTCTTAGGGGAGGCAGGTGGACAGGTGTCTGTAGTCAGGCGGTGGGGTATGCCTCTTCAACATGCTAGACCCTTGGACTGTTGTGGTTATGATACACTTAATAAACCTGAGGTGGGCCCCGGGCAGGCATGACTTGAATTTGGCAGGTGTGTGCCTCAGCCAGCTGCTGGACTTGTCTGAGCCACGGTTTCCCCATCTGTGAAAGGGGGATGATGCTGCCCCACAAGGCTGTAGTGGAAATATGTATGGAGCACGGCCGCTGTCAAGAAATGGTTTGTGGACTGGCCTGTGAATACTGTAGGAGTGCGATAAGGACACTCGGAGTCACTGGGGTGTCTCCTCATCTTTCTTAAGTCTCAGGCACATTAGGACCCATGTGGCAGGATGAAAGGGGAGAACAAGGATCCCCTAGAGGCCTGTTCCAGAAAGTTCCAGGCAAGAGAGTGTTTAGGAAGAGCGGCAGGCAGAGCAACAAGTTTGAGGAAACAGCCAGGAGTTGACATAAACTTTTCACAGAGGTTGTTTCAGCACGCCCTGGCTCGATGGCCTCTCTGCCTGGGGTTAATGGGGCCCGGGAGTGTGTGGGGAGGGCAGGCAGCGGTGGAAGATAGGGTGTCTGGATGTTCTACTGGGGATGAGAAAAACAAACCGTAGACTTTCCGTCTAATGTAGCACTGTGCTAAAAGTCATGTTTTAGAAGAATACATGGTTACAAGGAGAAACGTGCATAGTATATTAAGTTAAAAGCAGTGTGGATACCATGAGTTTATAAAACCAGTATATGTCTAGATATGTGTATATGCCTGGGAAAATATTCACACTCAAAATGTAGTCATGTCTAAGATGTTGTGTTATTGATGATAGTGCTTAAGTATATTTTCTATGATAGATACATATTACCTTAGTGATAAAGCTGTAAAGTGATTTTTTGGCAAAGAGTTCCTGGGGTGTTGGAGCCCCCAGGGGCATGTGGGGTAGGGGTGGGGAAATGTGGGGTGGTGAAGCCCTCCTGCAGCCCAGCCTCCCATCTCCCATCTCCGGCCCCCTCCCACTACCTCCCCAGGAATGTGACAACCCCTGCTGCAACGCCTCTAATTGCACCCTGAGGGGAGGGGCGGAGTGTGCCCACGGCTCCTGCTGCCACCAGTGTAAGGTAAGTGGCCCTTTCCCCCCTGCCTAGGGTTCTGACTTGATAGCTAACTGCTCTGCTGGGGGGTTGGGGGGAGGGTGGCTGGTCATCATCATCCTGGAGGAATGATGATGTCAAAGTTTCAGAGAGGTCCCCTGAGCAGAGCTGACTGTTTCCTACACTGGGCCTCAGTCAGTTCAAATCATCCTGGCAGGTGCTGCCTCCTGGGAGATGGTCATTTTTTTTTTTTTTTTTAAAGAAATGTTCAGACAGAGAGCGGGATTGATTTTATTTGGAGCTCATAATCATCATCATCATAATTTTGATTAACATTAATGAACCTCTTTGTAGATTCTAGGCACTATGCTGGAAATTTTATAGACAGATCTCATTCAGTCCTTACGAAAGCCCCATGAGATGTATATCGTTATCCTCATTTTAAGTTAAGGAAACAGGGGCTTATAGTGGATGGGTGGATTATCCAGAATCAAACAGTCAGGAAGGGGCTAAATCCAGCTTTCCCTGACTCTGGAGCACACATCTATAGTAATGATGTGGGAAATATATAGTTTATTACTACTAGTGTTACTATAGGACCACAATCTCCTATCAACAAATCTGAAATTCAGAAAGTTCTGAAAAATGAAATAAATAAATAAATAAATAAAAATTTTTAGTGGCAAAACTTGACCTGAATTGACATGAGACTAATTATAGGCCTTTTTTTTTTTTTTAAGAAAAAAATATGCCTAAAGTGAATATTTATATTTCCCTGCAGAAATATAATTTTTAGTGGCAAAACTTGACCTGAATTGACATGAGACTAATTATAGGCCTTTTTTTTTTTTAAGAAAAAAATATGCCTAAAGTGAATATTTATATTTCCCTGCAGAAATATTAGTGTGTTTGATTATAGAGTGTTATCCTGGGCCTTGCACACATACACTATATACACTACATGTGTATTATAATATCTGTTTCCTAAAATCTTAAGTCTAGCACCCTTCTGGCCCCAAGGTTTTGGACAGGATGTGTGCACCTGTGCTTCCACCTCCCACTTGCTGAGTGCACATTATGCACTAGACACTGTTCAAGTGCTTTATTCTAGCTTATTCCTTTTAACAACCCCATGAGGGGGTTATTATTCCCAACTACGGGTGAAGGAACACAAAGAGGTTTGAAGTGGCTGCCCAAGATCCCGCTGCTGGTTGAGGAGCTGGGATTTGGATCCAGGCAGGCAGGCTGGCTCGGGGGGTGGGTCCTCTTCGCCTCCTTTCTGCTCCTGGGTGGTACAGCGTGTCCTGCAGCATCGTCCTTCACATACTACCCCCAGCCAGCCTTGCAGCTGGGGCTCCATTCTTTCAGCAAGCTGCTCGGCTTGCCCATTCTGGGCCCACAAGTGGCCAGCAAATGGGCCTGTCTGTCTTCTGTCCTGGGAGGACCTTGTGGGCTCTGTGGAGTCACGTAGGAGCAGGGGAGGGCTCTATTCTCAAACGAGCTTTCCTTACCTGGCTCAGGGGAGCTTGCATGCCACGTGGTTTGACTCTAGGGTGGACCTGGCATCCTCCAGGAGCCTGTGCTGGGTCCAGTTCTTCCAGTCTTGGAGGAAAGCCTGAGAATACTCATGGAGAGTGCGCATTGCATTCAGTCCCAGGATTTCAATTTGAGTCTCAAACTGGTATCTGAGACTTTGAGTTCAAGCTCTGGCTGTGTGATTTTGGGCAACCAATTAACCATCTAAGCCCAGGTTCTTTATCTGTAAGGTGGGAGGAGTATTAATAACACAGATCTCCTGGGGAAGCTGTTAAGACTCAAGTAAAACTCAATTTTTACCATTTGCCCAAGATGTCCTGTTGATCAGGTTATTTTATGTGCAAAGTGGGGCAAACAGCAGTTATCTATGTCGTGGATATTGGGAGGATCACATGAGATAAATGCATGTAATATATTCAGCCCAGTGGCTGGCTTACTAACGAGGATGTATTATTGCTAAAGTGTTTGTAAATTCAAAGATGTTATGTGAATGCTAGTTGTGTGTGTGTGCGTGCGCGCGTGCACATGTTTATGTATTAGTGGGCCTGGCTCCTCTGCCACTTACTATGAGACTTTGGATACATTGTTTAACCTCTTTAAGCCTCAGGTGTCATTGTCTGTATAATTGGGATAATTATATTACATAAGACTGTCATCAAAACTAAATGAAGTAATATTTTTACTGGCACTTAAGTGGGAGCTGCATAGAAGTAGCTGTTTTTACTAAAGCTGTAAACTGTTGCATAAGAATTATTTCTTACCTGCTTCTTAAGACTGCTGCAAAGAGGAAGTGAGTTAACATTTGTGAAAATACCTTGAAAACTCCAAGTCGCTATTCATATTGAGCTAACAGGTCATGTAAAAAGTGCTGTGAGCCATGGTAATAGAAAATTCTCTTTCACAAGAGTAGTGCTCACCAGCCCTTGGCTGATAGGGTTGAGGGCAGGGGGCAGGTTGACTGTTTTTTCCTCTCTTTCCTCTACGCAGCTGCTGCCTCCTGGCACCCTGTGCCGCGAGCAGGCGCGGCAGTGTGACCTCCCAGAGTTCTGCACAGGCAAGTCTCCCCACTGCCCCACCAACTTCTACCAGATGGACGGCACCCCCTGTGAGGGCGGCCAGGCCTACTGCTACAACGGCATGTGCCTCACCTACCAGGAGCAGTGCCAGCAGCTGTGGGGGCCTGGTAAGAGCTCTGGGGAGCACAGCCCTACTCCCTCCCACCACTCCCAAGCCAGCAACCCCACCCCCTCATCAGGCACTCGGGTTAGCTTGGAATCCTAGCTTCCACACAGCACTCCACATCCCAGCTCTTTCATCCCCTTGACTCAGGGAGAGCCAGTGGACAGAGTTCTTCTCAGTCCCTGGATGCTTTTAATCCTCAGAGTGGGCAAATGGGTCAGAATAATCCAGAAGAAAAATGGGCAGAGGATGGAGACAGAAAAGCAAAT